CATAAGATTCCTTTCTACTAACAAAAGTCCAAGTCACACCTTACTGGCCTTGTGAGCCTTGTGGTTATATAATACCTAATCTGGTGAAAATGCCCTTTCGCAAAGCTTACGCAACATTGCTTCTCTTGGACTCTTTCGCTCGAGGCTTTCGCGAGCTTTCGCACTGCTCAGTTTTTCTTTCGCCGGGACTATGTTAGTTTCATAGCCTTACTAAACCTTCACTCGGGAGTTTTGGACTCTGCTCAATTGGCTGCTCATCCAGTCTGCGAAGAGTTTGGCACTTCCACTTGTCCAATGTGATGAGTAACTGTTTTTGGCTCGTGCAGCTGCTCAGCTGCTGAGTGGTCAAAGCAACACACAACGTCATCAAAAAAACAAAAGAACAAACACAAACACATCCACACCTCCAGCATGGAGCAAATGGCACTAATGACACTGTTATGTGTACACAGCCTTCGTCAAGTACCTACTCCTGCTACCGCCCCCTCCTGGTCCGTGGGCACATCCACCAAACGCATTTCTAAGCCTTCGATCTGCCGATCGCTGTCATTCAGGCCTCGGTCCACTGTCGACGGGCCCTGCGGCGTAGTGTTTCGTTTTTTCATCACTTGAAAGATGTAATCGTCTGTAATCCTACAGCTCCAGACTGTTTGAAGGGGGTCCCAACCCTTACAAAAAGACTTCAACGCAGAGTGGAGTCGAAGTCTAGACATCGCGAAGGAAAGGCGCTCACATGTCAATGTGTGGTTCCGGCAAAAGAAAAGGAAACTCTGTGCTCCACAAAACTCTTCCCTACGCTCCACCCAAACTGGGCTTCACCTGAACCTCGCAGGCCCTGCATCATGAGCTTCAGCTCCTAGCACCGAAGCCGCGGGACTCAGGTCTATCGTAGTAGGCTGGATCTCTCTTCGAGCAAACCCTGACATGGTATGAAGCTCTGGCAATCCCTCGGCTCTGGTAATCCCTTAAAAAATGAACTCTTCACCATTCAAACCAAAACAGGTGTGCTTAGATTAGAACAGGTCCAAACAATGAACCAGCTCTCGTGGCCTTCATGCTGTAAATGTTGTGTTTGATGGCCTTCATTGCTCCATCATTGTACAAGGGTTTTCATCTGCCTTATCCATCCATTTATATATATATAGTTTCCACTTGTAGGCCTTATGCCGGAATAACCCGTCGAATCCGTAGGGGCCTTTGTGAGTGCTCAAATGCCTTCAGGTTGCACACCTGTCACCCAGCCTTGGGTATGAAGTTTGGGCATGCCATGGTTTCCTTTGCCGCTTTCCTTGAAATCTTGACTGCAAACACATCATGGTGCAGTCACTTTTTATTTTGACCATGTTCTGTCATGTACGCCCTTGCTGGAGGACCTTCTCACACTAGCTCGTTGACATGTTCGTTACGTCACCAACAGTTCGTGCACAAACAAACTTCATGGCACATTGTGGACTCAAGTCTCGCATGCTATTGAGAAACACGACAGTCTGACGATGCTTGTGTGGCTCAGCAACATCGGCCGCTTTGCTTGCACCCAGTTGATCTATTCTTTGTGGCTGCCTCAACGTGTGAAAGTTCTGAAAGCATTGAGTTTCGTTCGCCCTTGAGCCCTGACTTAAGGCTATTATTATATGGTTGTGGTTAATTCATACATGTTAACTATCTTATATATCTCTTTATTGCACTGGGCTTCCTACCGCAAGTACAGACTTTGAGCCTTGCGGATATTTATTGGCCATCAATCTCTAGCGTTCGCTACTCAAGTGAAAATGCACCGAGTGCATGAGTCTGGTGCTTCGACCCATGCCGTTGCCGCTGTGCAACCCAGGCCGCGAGGGAGGTGTGACCACATGCGAGCACCAACCGACGCAATCACAAAGTGGAACTACCACTGCGCAAAGCCGCATGAGATTTGCGTACGTTCGTTGAACGCTGGCAAGAACTTGGATGGCAAAGCTATTCTGCTTCTGACCATGGGACTTCATGCGATTTCACATAATATCCCATGGTCTTATGGCCATTGTTTCCCCCGTCTCCTCGTCCTTTTCCATGGACGCCTCGAACTGCTTCCGCTGCTGCCGCATCTGTTGCGAAAGGTCAGACATGGTTCCGCCTCCGGCTTCGGGCCAGGTTCACTTCTCTGAGAGGGACGAGAAAGGACCGAACTGGATTCTTGGAATGTGGAAAAGGGGCATAAGAAGTTCACAAACATCAACCAAACTTGCTGCTATAAGATCTAAGTGCACACACACTAAATCCACATGGTGAACCTCTGCGGACCTTGAAGATGTTGTTCGGAAAGCACATCCTGGAATCCTGTGTTTGTTCTGGGGGTACGATAGGTACACCATGGTACACCTATATACGGCGATCACATGCGATCACTGTCACTGACATCCAGAAAGTACAGGCACTACTCACGTGTTTGTCAGCTCATCAGCATTCCACAGTTCGCAGGGTCACAACGTGCACTGAGTCGAGGCTTCCCTCCTCCAACCTTTGCTGCACAACCGAAAATAGATGAAAAATGATGAAAATAGGCTTGTGTAATCGATTATGCGGCAGAGACTCCCCAATGCATTCACAATAAGGTAGGGTAGAGTCTTGTCATTGACTCGAGGGCAAGTCATGGTACCCAACCAATGGGTTTTGCGGCTTTGCTTCATGTCTCGGCCTGTTCACGGCCGTCTGCACCTCTCCAGCTATGCGCGAGAGGTTCAAGAAGGTCGAAAAGTGCATTAGCCATCCGCCTCTGGCCCCAACCAATCGGGTTGGTCAATTAATTACACATTCCTTTTATGAGAAGGGTCATTGGGGTCTCCCTATTCTATTATACTGTTACACACCCGGTATGCCAACAAAATCCAACAAGTCAGAATACTTCCAACCCGCTCCGACCTCGCCGCTCCTCGCCTCGTGTTGCTCTGCGCACCGACCTCCGCCCCTTGGAGAGGCCCCACAAGCCGCCTACAACGAAGCACAAAGAAAGACACATAAAGCCACCAACATTGCTACATGATGCTACATGACAATCACCGTCAAGCACACATTCCCATCAGTGCTTCGCTGGGATTAGCACATGGAGAACTTCGGGATGTGAGAACCATTTCAGCATATTTCAGCTACACAGAAATAGCCTGCAATCCGACCCTGAAAATATGTTTGGTTTGAGACCCAAAGGCCTTCTCCTTGAAGATCGGTGCATAAGCGTCCAAAGCACCGAGAGGATCCGATTCGATTTGGGTCAAAGCAAGCATGGGGTCCAGTGCAAAAGAAACAGCCTTTAAGCCCGACCTGAGGACGGACCGGTTTTATCTTCCGTGGAAATGTACCTGGAAATCGACCAGAAACAACTCTCGAGTCCATGTGCAAACATTCTCAGGATAGTACCAATCCAAGCACTCTCTCCGCAAGTACTCACTCCAGGTTGTGACACAACGCAAACAAACATCCGGAATGATCTCCACAATTGCAACATGTTCTTCAATTTTGAGTCCAGCCCGCACTAAACACATCTAAACACTCTGCAGTCTGCAACCCTCTCCCCCAACCCCACGACGCCACCGCCTGCCACCAGCGCTGTGCCCTGCGGCCCCGGACCGCCACTTGCGCGTGGCACACCGCCCGCGTGTGGCACGCGCTGCGGTCGGGCGAGATGGCCCGAGGGCGCTGTGGCGAACGCCTTGGTCACACAGTGCATCCCGAAAACCCAACACCGACCGTGCTGGGCTGTGCTTCGGGGGATTCGTTTTGCTGTGCGGGGATATCTGGATGGAATCGGGTGATCCGATCGTGCCACAGTTCTGCTGGTTTAGCCACCCCATGTGAATCAGGATCTGAGAGATGCGGTCTTAATCGGGGCCTCAGCACTACAAATCAATGCGCCACACTCTGGGTCATGGAGTGCTGCTGTGCTTGGTATCTCAACCACCATTCAGTCTGCAGTACTCATTTTAAACCCCTTTTTGACACCATCAAGAAGGAAAATTATGGGCCGATCAACACGGCACCCCACCTGGCTTCCTTCCAAGCGACTAGGCTGCTTCGGCTAACGAAATCCGCCGTGGCCATGGCTTCGGATGGAGCGGCTAGGACCTCTCAGTCAGAAAAATGTCGTTGGCCCGCTTTTGCCATTGATCTTTCGACTGGAGTGGCGGAGTGGCTGGATCTGTCGAGGTTTCGGTTCGGTGCGCTGATTCAAGGCATCTGAATCAGATTACGTCTTGAATCAAAGCATTTAGACTCGTTATATAGGTTGATTTAGGTGATTTAGACGACCTCATCCAAACTGCTGAACATATGTCTCCTTTGCCATGTCATGAGCTCGGCAACGCTAAAAGGTCCAAAAGCCACAAGAAGTTCATGTTCCCATCCAGAAGGATTCCCAAACCGGTTTCCTCACTGGTCGTGGTTTCCTTGGAGTCGATTCCTACACAAAAGCACATTTGGTCTCTAAGATTCCCAAACTGACCCTATGAACACCGTTGATTTCTGATAGTAGTCTTGACGTGCTTGAGGAGCCTTTTTTCATGGGTGTTTGATGGTGTTTGGATGTTGGGCACTGTGTCCTTCCCATCATCCTCCCCATCGGCTTGGTCTCGGATCGCGGTCCAACCCCCTTGACGCAGGGTGTCTGGAGTCCTGAAAGGGGTCCTACGATGAAGGACAGCTTAACATGAGGGGTTGGTGTGTCTTTGAAAGCTTTTGTGACACATGAAACATGAACCATCATGAATCAAAGTTTGGTTGAAGTTCATCTACTGAGGGTGGAATATCCACCCGAGACACATGCGTGGTTCTTGAGCGTGGAATATCAGTTGAAGTAAATCAGTCAGGAAGAATTGACTTCACAGATCTTGACAGCCAAGCTTATAAAGGTTTCTTTCGAGAGGAAGACTTGCTGTTGCATCAGCTGCAAGGCACTTCAGTCCTACCCCAACAGGGTTACACCTATCGTCCGCGACCGTGTCCATCCGTCACTGAGTGGATCTTGGGAGCACAGGGACATTTCCAAGTCCGTGTCCCATGGCATCATCGAGACGTCACCTGGAAGAAGACAACGCCCGGCCGCGTTCTAGGCCAGGCCGCCGTTTGAGAGGTGAAGTTTGCCCAGGTGAGGTTTTTGCGGGCATCTTTTCGCGAAAAACAGCGTGACACGCGACCAAAAGCATCACTGTGCACCTCCACGGATCATTGCGGTCAACAACGTGCCCTGAGCACGAAAGGTGACCGATCCACGAGCATTGAAGAACATCTGTCGATCAATACAATGAAATGGATGATGAAGAACAGCTGTGTGCGGACCTCTGACTTTTAATGAAACAGCTTCCCCTGCAGGTTCCTCCTTCCATCAGCCTGCTTTGGAGCTGCAAAGTGGCGCTTGGGATCCTCAAACGGTGGGTTCTGAGGCAACGAGACATGGCGAACGACTGTTTGGAGGAGTCAACTGTACCGTGATTAATCCTCAACTTCTCCTTTGAAGGGTATAAACGTGACATAAAATTACCCCATGATGAAGCCGAAACCAGGTCCTGTGATTCAATCATCATACCTGCATTTGTTCCGTTCACATCCATTCACGTGTTCTCCAAGATTCCAAGGACCTCCACCAGTCGACGATTTTCACGAAGGTCTCCTTTGGAGTTGGAAGAAACCCGGACAAGCAAGGGAAAAGGAGGCTTTGGGATGCAAATTGGAAACTCTTTGAAGGCTGGTGGATGAAAGTTTCTGTCTGTAGACCTCCTGACAAGCTCTTTGATAGTTTCACGTCAACAACGCTGTTCCCAGTGCTTTTGTCTTCAAACACCTCTTGGAAATAGCCCCCACACAGGGAATAAAGACAAACCCTACAATTACAACAGGTTTGTAGATTCGGAACTTTCACTAGCTGAGTTCCAAACATATAGGAACTTTTGGAGCATCAAACATACCGTACCTCTACTTTGCATATCATGCACATTTGTAAGTAAAGTGACTTCTCTTGCGTATGAACAAAAATGGGCGGGATAGTAGAAAGCCTCGAAATAAAGTACTGTACGCAAACACTTCCAAATAATACAGATTGTCTTGTTCAAAAGCAAGGATTTCACTGTGTCACACTTATTGATAGTTGTTGTCACCCTTGAAGAATAAACCATTGCTCTTTGAATACCATGAAGCCTACGGCATCCACGCAAAAAATCACACCGTTGGGTTCACCGTCACATTGTTCAGCCACCCCACCCCTTTGGATATTGGGCCAGTAAATCAGGGCCACTTTTCCTAGCCCTGGAAGCATTCCAGGACACTCAAGCGGCAAGCACCTTTCGCCACTTGAGCCTAATTGGTCGGTAAGATCATGAGAACATGATAGTGCATGCATACTATATATGCGTGCACTCTTGCAAACGCATATCTTTTCCTGTCATCAGCTAGGCCCTGGGCCTAGGCTGACCGTTTGAAGCTACAGGTCATGTCTAAGATACTCATGCACAACTTCGTCAGCTCTATCCGCTCCACTCCTCGATCCGGCGCCGGTAGAGCAAGGACGTGGCCAAGCCTGAAGCGCCCGCGTCAACATGGGAGTGGCAAACCGGGAACCCCGAATCAATGTAGACTGACCTCTTTAGTTGTCCTTGAGTGCCATGACCCCAAAACGATTTGGGTTCACCCACAGTGCGCGCCCCGTGGCGGTGTCCTGGTGTGAGCAACACCGCAACCGGAGCGCTTTTCGTGAGGACTCCGACAAGTCACACGCAAGTGGTGTTTGCCCCAAAGGACATCCAAGAAGGACACCAGTGCTCCTTTGGACCAAAGGTGTCCGAATCCTGTTTTTGGGCATCTGCGCGGTGGCAGTGGTGGTTGGTTTCCAAGCACAATTGAAGGGAGGGCTGTACTGAACAGCAACTGCTTGGATGAACATCTTAGGTCTTAGATCTTTATTTAACAAGCCTGCAAGTCAACCACGGCTTCAGAAGACGATGGACTGACTATTGGATTTTAACCGTTAGCAATGCAGCAATCAGGAACGACTTGGACTTGATGCTGCCCAAACGCGTGATGCTTCAAAAGGACGATCGCCGAGCTTTGAATTGGACATAAATCGCAATAAATACTAGGCGGTTCCCATCTATTCTAACATCACCAAATGACGAGTTGGGCCGCGGTGGGGCCACTGAGTCCACCCACGAATTCTGGATGGACTCTTGGGAACTGCCATGGGTGTATTGTCAGCATAGATATCTGCTACTTGAAGGAAATTGCAGTGAAGAGTAGTAGCAAGAGATGCGAGGGCAACTGCAGGATTGATGGTTTAGAGGAGGCAACTATTGTGTGATGACTGACTTCCTGAACGCACACGCAGTACGAACACAAAATGAAGGCAATAAGTGGTCTATCTGCATAGGCTCATCACAGAAAGGACATTCCGCTTGGAGGGCATTGACTGGATGTAACTGTGTAACTGAAACGGGTGCAACATGGTGCAACTTAAAATGCACCGAACTTCCAGAACGGTCTTAACTCCCCTTACGATGCAGGATGTCTTTATATTTGTACGACTGAGTCCCATGCAAGTAAATGCAGTTGGATGGTTTCTTGTATGTTGTGACGAGATGAACATGTGGACCATGACTGTCGTTGACTGTGAGGTCAATGGCCCACCAAGTCAGGATATACTTAATTTCATAATCCTTTACCCGGAAAGCTGGTCAAAAATCTGACCCCAATCCCGGGGACGACTTGGATCAACCACTGATAACTAGGCAAGGATCACAAACCCCGATGTATGCTCCTTCTGTGGGCAACGAGAGACTCATGATCATCTGTTTCGACAACCCTGTTTACCGTGACTTGAGGCCTTCGGCCAAATACCACTGCCATCCGACAACTTGGCATACTGGCATTATTTTTGGCCCCCATCCGAATATTGAACACATTGATATTCTGAAGTTCTGCGGCAAACGTGTCCGGATCCTATCTTTCTTGAGACGGTTGTTTTTGTTGATGGTTCTGTCTTCAAACGCACCTGGTATCACCTGGTCACGTATTGCTGCTGCTGCTGCATCAGCTGCGTTTTTTCCAACCAAACAGAGTGGGTGGTTTCTTTGCTGTGTGCTGAACAGAGCATATACCGCGCAGAAATCCTGGCTCTTCTTATGGCTGTCATGATCACTGAAGGTGACATGTCCACAGCCACTGATCGCCTCAATGCAATCAAGTATGGAAAGTTAATGAGGTTTGATGTCAAAACTGAGTGGCACTTCATGCGTTGACGCATAGTGATGTTTGGAGACTTTTCCCAACCGTTCTTGGGCAAAGTTCAGGCTCGCCCTTGCGTGCAAGATGTATTTTTTACACGTGGAATGTCGAGGCTGACTGGTTGGCCAAACAAGCCTCAAAAGTCATCACCTCCCCTTCCTTCTAACTCTGAGTACGTATTTAAAAAAGCCTCCCCAATTAAAAAACACCACGTCCGAAACCCAAAATACGGTCCACACTTGTTCTTAAATTACCGCCTTTTCAAGCCACTACTAAACTACCAACATGGTCGATTTTGGGGGGAGATTGTTCAATTAGGTTCCCCCAAAACTCCCTCAAAATAGGTCCCAATACACCCTCAAAATCGACCATGTTGCGTTGCTGACTCTCCGCTGGCTGTCCCTCCCCTGCCTGTCTGCCTCTCGCTTCTGCTGTCAAGCGGACTGTCTGGCTGTCTGTCTGGCTCTGGGCAGGTTAATATCCTCTTGCCCCAATCCTACAAACATGCCGTGGATAATTACAACCAAGTCCTGCACATGCCACGAAATCTGCACTTCCAGGTCGACAAAGAAGTGCACTTGCCACAAAATCTGCACTTCAAGGTCTACAAAGGACTACACATGCGACGAAATCTGCACTTCAAGGCCCACAAAGTACTGCCTCTGCCACTAAATCTGCACTTCAAGGACCACAAAGTACTGCACATGCCACGAAATCTGCGCTTCAAGGTCCACAAAATAATGCACCTGCCGTGAAATCTGCACGTCAAGGTCAACAGAGTACTGCACATGCCACGAAATCTGCGCTTCAAGGTCCACAAAGTAATGCACCTGCCGTGAAATCTGCACTTCAAGGTCAACAGAGTACTGCACCCGCCACGAAATCTGCATTTGATCTGCAATTAATCATTGATTCAAGGATCCTTCCACTGACCCTAATTATTTTGGATCCCCCCGATTTCAGGGCATGTTTTTTTAAATAGGTGGACAGGACGATCCAAAGCTGTTGCGATCCAAACGGACGCACCTTGTCTCGGCTCAAAGGGACGATGTTCGTGTTTCTCGGCACGCTCGCTCAGCATCGTCGTGAGTGTCCGTCGTGTGCGTGCAGGCCTTCTGGGTTTCCGAGGGATTTCACGAAGTGCACACATTGTTGTTCTGCTCAGTTTGCCTGTGTTGAAACTTCTCTTGTCACACTTCAACCGAAATGTCCGTCTCTGGACACCCTTTTAAGCAACCAATCATGTGCCCCCCTCCCTTTAGTATCGCTTGGCGACTTTATCTATGGGAGACAGCGATTTCCACCTGCTGTTCCACAACCGCTTCATGAATACTTTGGTTGGTCACAAACACAGCGCCAAAACGAATTGGTTGCTACTAGTTTTCGACTCTGTTGCCGCCTTTCTAGAAAATTTGGTTGCTCTCAGGTGACTTGACTCTTCATGAGGCCACAGTTCAGGTCCTTTCCAAACGACTTTCCAAACGCTATACTGTGCTTTCGGGTGCACCTTTTGTCCCCTACCCCGCCATTGTAACGTTCTGAATATCTTTGGGCTCCACCATTCTTCTGGATTCTGCAGCGAATTTGTTCCCTTGCACACCTTGGGATTCTGGTATGCGTGCGCGAAAACATCCCTAACAATGTCTAAGTAGTGCTTTGATCCCGTGGTTGACTGGCATCAATGGAGCGGCAAAAAACTGGGGAATACATTCTCCAACCTAGGTGCCAGCTGCACTACTTCTAGCACGAAAAAACGATATGTGATAGATCTTTCTCGCTGCCAAAAGATATACAAGGTTATATGTATAACACTTTCTATGGCCGCAAATTGCATCCAAATATTGCAAATGACTTTATGTAACCTGGGTCGATCAACCAAAAGAAGCCCCTCACAGAACCTCCAAACCATGATTAAACCACACCCCACCTGGGGCGCGCACGTTCTTCTGCCAGGATGTGTGCGTGGGACCACGCGCTGCCGTTGGCCACGTCTGGCAGTCCATGCATTCTACATCTCTACACAGGTACCTTCGGATACCGGGAAACTCAAAAGCCCTGAGGTTTGTTCGGGAAAGTATCACGCAACTATATATATATAATATAGATAGATAGAGAGAGTTCCATCATGTTCCATCTGCTACTGCATAAATTATCCTAATTTTAGATTCTGAGGTGGGAGGTTGAGCACTCCTCTTGGCCCTTGACGACCCCAAGAATTACTTGGACCTCATGCAGGCAAAAATAAACTTAATTTGACCCATCATTCCCACCATCCATGACCCTTGCTCCAGGAAACCTCGCGCATGTTTTTTCTCTAATCTCCAAAATCTGATCTTGTGCATGCGCAGCCATGCGCAGGTCCATCGGTTAAACAAAAATAAAAAACAAATTGAAAACCCTGGGCGTTGAGTCAGTTGAGATTTGAACCAACGTAGACTCTGTTGTCGTGGACCTCTCTTTACGTAGACCTTGGCGGACAAGCAGGAGCTTCATCTATACTGGCCACCTTACACGAGGGGAAGTCTCATGACAAGCAGGCCTAGGCAGCGAAAAAAGGTCGTAGTCTTCTGCGTAGATTCGGAGAGCCCGCTTGCAAGTGGCCATATCATAGATGTCGTCCAAGATCTTGAAGTTTGAATCAGTCTGATGCTTATGTAGCTTGCTTTTTATTTTGTCAGAGACAACAATGTTTTGCAGCGTGGAGAGCTTTGATTTACTCACTCTGCTCCCCATGATCCGAAGTACACAATCACGCAAAACCGGGTGGGTGCTCTTGTCGAGGCCCATGTGCAGCACATATTGGTAACACTTCTTGAAATGCGTTAAGCCGCATGCTTGTGCTTGCTTCTGCCAGTGGACATTAGTCACATTGCGTTTCATTTGAGCATCGACTCTTCTGACAAAGTCAGCAAAGGTCAAGCTCCTCAGGACTGGAACTGGAACATTCAGTGCTTTCGCAAAGACTTTTTGGTCAGGATGTCGCCTGCGTATCTTATCGAAATAAGCTGAGCGTAAGCGATCCAGTGGATCACGGACTATAACCAACTTGGCCCAATCTGAGTCGAACATCATCTGCAAAGCATCATGTCGAAATTCTCTCAACAATGTCAGATTGTAGGCAATCTTCAAGCTGTTCTTCCCAACAATGTAATGCTTGCTCCCCATAGTATTGTAGTCCTGACCATCGAGCACCCGGAGAAGCCGCAAGAACTCGTTGGTGCCCACTTTATACTGTGGACAAAAGATCAGCTTGGCATCTGGAACCACCAGGGTTGACAACCAGCGGATCGGTTGCTGCTGGCTGAATTCGATATCTGACTTGGAGGGCTGTCGTTTTGGAATGTCCCATCCTCCGAAGTTGGTGCAGCTCTGCAGGCTCTGCAGGCTCTGCATGGTTTGGCCAAGGAACTTCAAGTAAATGGGATTCATTTGATAGATTCCACCAACCAACAGCAATATCGTGGCCAGAGAGGCCAGGAAAACCAGCAGCAGCTTCATGAAGCCAGGATATCAACGGTCCATTGGATGATGCAACATCAGCCACAAGTTGCTGATCTGCAAGAGTGATCACTTATAGTCATGAAACAGGCAAATATACATCTTGACATTTTGGGTGTTTTGCTTCTCGCCTCCCAAACAAAAAGAGCAAGGTGCAAGTGGCACTCCACTCTTTCGGACACCTCATACCGAGCAGCGGGCAAGTTCACAGAAGCAAACATGATATATATATATATATAGTTATATTTAAATATAATATATATATATAATATTACATATATAATTATATATAATGGTATAATGCATACCTAATGAAATCTGAAAATACTCCGAATCCTCTCGACTTTCTTTCTTCGTGATCACACAAGCCAACGGAGCCTTCGCCACCCAAGCCGTGCTCAGCCAAGCGGGTCTGCCTGGCGCCGCTGACGTGAAGGTTTCACAGTCCACAGTCCCAAACTGACAGGCACCGGGGGTTCTACAAATTTGAGGGGTGCACATGATGTCAAGTGTAAAGCATCAAATGACATATATAACATGTCTGCTAAGATGATGTAGATCTTGAACGTTTGCGCAGTGAAGTGTGGATCCAGTTGATCTCTAGTGGGCGGGAGTGAAGTCATCATTGAAACCATCATTGCCTGTGGTTTGACAGTTGTGCTGGTGAGCTGCAAGAAAGGGCCCTTGGCCGGTGCCTGCTGACGTAGCTGACTGCTTCCAAATGGAATTGCTGTGCAAAGGCATCCTGAGCAACATCCTCCAACAAATGATTAGCATCTATATACAGTATACAATGAAGCACGGTGCAAGGAATCTGGAAATCATGTCCTGCCAAAGTCATACCGCCATTGCTGGATATGAAAATGTACAATGTTCTAGCAGCTAGCACCCTCAAATACCCTGAACACCCCCTTCAGAACTAAGGAACAGCACGTTGCTACCCAAAAGCCATGACCACCATTCCCATCATTCCTCAACGGCTGACACGAAGGATTAAGGCTGATCTTGCTTCTCCACAGAGTGGGACCCGGAGGTTTGCAGAGTTGTCTACACAACCTCAAAGTAAAAGTTTGCCCAGGAGGGCTCTCCTGCCATGCCACAACCTGACTGGGCCAAAGTCCCAAAATATTATCCCTGGGAGGAACCCGATAAATATCCGAAGGATGAGCTCTTCCAGAAAGGTCTTACGGTACTTTCATTGCACTGGGCCATCAGCTTCTCAAAGCCCAGGCTCTTCGTCTGGCATCTCCATTGATCCAAGGCTCGGGAAGCTGAGCGCTTTGGGCATAATCCTCTTCCCCTTGGTGCAAAGACCCACAAATGTCGTCGTCAGATTGACAAGGATTCATCGCGTGCCCTAGTGGTGTGACGCGCAAGCACCCTGGAAGGGGTCTGTGTTCAATGGTTACACAATCACAAGTGAGAGCTGTCAACCACTAGTCACTAAAGTGATGTATGTGCAATTCAAATCTCCCTTGTCACCTACTCATGACATCACCTCGAACTGTAGCGGCTCATAGCCAAACAGAGTCCTACCAGTTGCCAACCTCGCAGGAAGAAAGGGAGTGACCAAAGGCTGCATCAACTAGAAAAACAGTGTCTTCATGTCCCAAGGAGAGATCCATACCCAAATGGACCCATCAATAAACCACCGTTCAGGGACTGCAAAAAAGTGCGGCCACACTGTTGCACGTGGCTCCACAAGTGGCCGCACTAATGTTGACACTGCCCTCCATGCAACAAGACCTATGAACTTGCATGGAGTTCCAGGAGCCTCTTTCGTGAAGACCAGATCCCTCAAAATCCCTCAAAACCGTCGCGGTAGCAGTCGTGACCAAACTTCACCCGAGACCGTTGAATGTGCTGAGCCCGCATGCGAGACACCGCACCCACAGCCTCGAAGGACGTGGGCAGTGGAAATTGTGCAACCCCTGTGACCTGTGACCCCGTGGTACAGTACGGCTATGGGTTGGGTTGAGCATGTTGGTACAGGACCCAAACGTATGGAATGCTGCCTATTCACATCAGCCTATTCACCCACTTGGAGCAGCGGCTTTTCAATTTCTCAGTGGTCACTAGCAGCCATCACCTCAATTAGGAGCCGAATTCCCCAGCGGAAGTCCGAATTCCCTTTCACTCATCACGGGTAATCTTGGGCCAGAAATGTTTCAACACGTTACCAGGATCAAAAGGTTGAATGACCTTCACAGTGCACAATTTGGAGAACACTGAGGGTGTCAACGCTAGTCTTTGGTTGAAAAAAATCCAAAACGCAGGCCAGGCAGGCTAATCTTGATTCACTCGGGACTTACTGTGAATTTTTATGACCAGGGGTCCTTGACAGCAAACAATATCTTAATGAAACGCAAATAAATCTGCGAATCGCTTTGTGCCGTGAGGCAAAGGTAAACTCCATAGAGCCATAGACTTCATTGTGCCTCCAAGGGCTGGGAAAAGTTCTGAGAGCTCCAACGCAAGTGAGGATCTGGCCTGGCAGCTGAAACACCTACGAATCTCTTGAGAAGTTGCACAAACGGTTCACCAATTTATCCAAAACCATGATCCTCTTTATCCAATCGGAGTGGGGTCCAACTACTTACTGGGACACTTGAGTGTGACAATAAAACTTGTTTTCTGCTGGACTGCGTCGAGGTCCCACGTGGTTATACATCATCCTCTTTTCAACGCACTACTAATATGTATATATCTGAGTGAATTAAATTAGTTTCATTAATTTCGTTCACCTCGTCGTCTTAATTTCATGTTTTGAAATTATTCACCTCGCCTCGTTTAATTTCAATAATTTCATTCACCTCGTCTGCATTTGATGTGGGGGGCCTGAATGCCTGCCATGGCTTCCTGCACGTGCAAACTAGTAATCGGGCCTATTTCTTGACAATAGGTTGTTTTTTGTCTTTGGGATTCTTGGGGCTCTCTGCCCTGCATGGGTGGAAGAATCCCTGTAGCTCCTGGAAACTACACCAACAGTGGCCTCTACAAGCCCCAATCCCTTCAAGCATGCTTGGGTCAAAATCAGGCCTATTTCTTAGAAATAGGATGTTTTTTGGTCTTTGGGTATTCTTGAGGCTTCTGTGTGGCATGGTGAGTTGAGCCCCTGTAGCTCCTAGAAACTACACCCAGCAGTGGCCTCTACAAGCCCCAATCCCTTCAAGCGTGCTTGAGATAAAAATCGGGTCTATTTCTTAAACATAGGTTGTTTTTTTGTTTTTGGTGTTTTTGGGGCTTCTGTGTGGCGTGGTGAGTGGATCCCCTTGTAGCTCCTGGAAGCTACACCCAGCAGTGGCCTCTACAAGGCCCAGTCCCTTCAAGCATGCTTGGGACACAAATCGGGCCTATTTCTGAAAAAATAGGTTGTTTTTTTGTTTTTGGTATTCTTGGGGGCTTCTGTGTGGCATGGTGAGTGGATCCCCTGTAGCTCCTGGAAGCTACACCCAACAGTGGCCTCTACAAGCCCCAGTCCCTTCAAGCATGCTTGGACAAAAATCGGGCCTATTTCTTAAAAATATGTTATGTTTTGTTTTTTGCGTTTTTGGGGCTTCTGTGTGGCGTGGTGAGTGGATCCCCTGTAGCTC